TCACATGTTGGAGATTTTGGGAAATTAATTTCTCAGTAATGTAAGTTTATTATTTTTAGTGCCTTCTTAATTTATGGCTCTTTAGGTGTCTTAAGTTACAAAACATGAAGTGTCTTGCTTGTGGAACATTGGTAGACTATGATGAAGAAAACAATTATAATCTTTTTTTTGGTTTTAATAATAATTCCAAATCATTTTAAATTAATAATGAATAATAATTAAGTATTAATTAAGCATAACAGGAATTACGTCATAATGAGGCTTAATGAATATCGTTATCGTTGTCGGATCAGGTCTGGCACCAGCATAAATCGTGGCTGATTCGTCAATATCGGATCAGGACATTGCCCCAAATCCTCGGTCCAGGCTCGATCATCAGTAATGATTCAGGCCTGTATCAGGACTGGTCCATGTTCCAACTCTTGGGCGTGTAGCAACGCCTAGCAACGGAGGCTGTCTTTGAGCAAGAGCTGTCTTTTTGAGACCTGTCATTCCAGCAGTGGTGTCACTATACGTCATTATTTATATCAAAGGAAGCAGAGGAGACCGGCATCTATCCCCAGACTAATTTTTATGTTGCTAGCATCATCATTTACACTGAATATTTGCTCTGGAATGAGAATGCTTAGAATGACATTTTGTTTTGTACCCTTATCTCAGTAGTGTTAGACAGAAAACAATAACTTATTCAACCACTCAATAGAGATTCATAATGTCGAGGTCGCCCACTATGTTTCGTTTGGAAATACGGTTGCATCTTTCTGTAACAATAGATTTGTTGATTAGTTTGAGAGGTTTGTTTTGTACCCTTAACATAAAAACCAAAGGGTCTGTGACATTAGCTATCATACCATTGTATTGCTTAGAACACACCGGAGGTCGCCAACACCATTTCTATTCAATAGGTTGTACAAAACAAAAAATAGAACTAAATATAGTAAATGTGATCAATAATGATTGCTAATTCATAAAACACTGAATTTAAACTGCAAACAGATACATTGCTACAGCTGACAGCTTGGGCAAACAGGAAGAATGTCTAAACATTATTGAAGGGTTACCTGCACAAAATAAGACTTTATGCAACAAAAAACCACCTGAGAAGCTTGGTTACCTTTTTCAACTTTCAGTCATTTTAATTTTACATACGAGTATTTAGAGAAATTATTTACGGTACTATCAACTAGCATTTTCCTGTTGCTACGGCCCGTTTCCAATCCCTATGTACTCTAATATCTATGATTGAATCTATTGCAATAGACACGCCCAAGAAAATTACATTAAATTATTCAACGACTTTCCATTATGACACGCTATCTATCATGGCTTCCCAATTCTCACTTCACTTCCTGGAACAAGTCTATGTTAGTCAGTCCACCAGACTCTCCCCCCGCCGTCCAAAAGTCAAAAAGGGGTGGAGAGTCTGGCTACGCGAGACTAGGTTAAGCCATAGATACTACATACCTCTGGTTAAACGAGAAGGTGCGGTATAAAAGGCGGGGCCCTGGGCATGGTGACTTTCGTTTTATTCACGTGTAAAAATGTCGGCTCTAGATGGTGTTGCTTCTTCAAGGAAAAACGCAGGAAGAAAGGGGTTTTGGTACCAAATGGACTTCCATTTTACTCTCAAAGAAGACAAGGACCAGTTCTAGTTAGGCTTGGTCGAGTTAAGGGGTCTTTAGGCACTAAAAGAAGGCGCTGGAAATGCTGTCTCATTTACT